TTTTTTTTTTTTTTTTGTGGTGTTGGGGATTGAACCCAGGGCCTTGGGCATGCAAGGCAAACACTCTACCAACTAAGCTACATCCCCAGCTCAAATGAATTCTTTTAAGATATCACTCTACAATTGCTATTTCAACTATCCAGCCTCATTCTTAGCATTCAAAGCTTACATCTCTGATCCAGGAGTCTTATAAACCTCATCTCTGAACTTTCTGTTAAGTGTACTGAAAAGGTTTTCAAACTGAAATTAAACAATAAGAGTAGTTTCTGGCTTATGTGTACAGATATTAAATTTTCAAAATGTAACATGTAGCTAAGAAACAATATAATGTCTCCTTTCTAAGAAGGATGTGTATGTAGCATTACAATTAAACCTATACACTTACACAAAAAGCATAGTTTATAACAATTATCTATACCTGCACTTCTGTAGCTCAGATCCCCAAGAATTTTATCTCCAACTTTTCTAAGTTTCCAGTGTTGCCTTAATCTCAAGAGCTCAGAGTTGAAGTCTCTTTGTAGTTTGTTTTCTTGATTTTCCGTAACTGATTTAGTCAGTCTTTCCGCTCCCTTCAACAGTATTTGTGCTGCTCCAGCAAGTGACTTCTTTTTTGATATTAGTTGCAATGTCTGAGGATTCTATAAAAAACAATTCTAAACTGCAGTTTTGTATTATTTTTAGATGATTTTAAATTCAGAAACAAAACATCTACTCAAAAGAAAATTTAGAAATTAAAGAAAAGCAAAGAGAAGTTGGATGGGAGGTGAAGTATGCATAATAATGCTTTAAAAAAATAAACTTAGAGCAGGCACAATGGCACAGAACTTTAATCCAAGCCTGAAATCCTATCTACTCAGGAGGTTGAGACAGGAAAATTTAGCAAAACCCTGTCTCAAAATTAAAAAAAAAACAAAAAAAATTAAAAGAGCTGAAGATGTAGCACAGTGGTGAAGCACCTCTGGGTTCAATTCCCAGTAAGGTAAAACAAAACAAAACAAATTCAACAACGATAAAAAACCCTTATCTCCAGCACCAGTGGTAAAAAAACAAAACAAAACAAAACAAACACCTTAATTTATTTCTTTGGTCAATTCATATAGAATTCTGTTAAATGAAAAACATCACAATGGACCAGAAATTAGAACATAACACTCGRCATGAGTTTACCAGTGCTGGGTTAGGGTCCCTTCTAATGCACTGCCATTCCTCTCCTTATATACTGCCATCTCTGCCCCCATCAATGTGTATACCCTTTTGTGACACTCACACTTGCAATTAACATCTAATCCTGCTTGGATGGTAATTTAATGTGATGGCATAAATCATTATATATAYAGACAGTACAATGATGCCTGACATATATTTGATTTGACGGATAAAATACATGACTCTAATGGAGTATAACTCAAAAATCATCTTGTATTATCACAGCAATTAAAATGCTTTTGGAATTAAGACCAAAAACATGTAGCATTAATATTAAATGTACTTTACTGAATGCTGACTTTTTTGATAACTGAATAGAAATCAAAATCTATATCATATATACATACATATATGTTCATAATCACTACCAATTCATGTATTTTATTAACCAGATACAATTCCCAAAAGTCACAAAGTCAGATTTAATAAAAGGAAGACTGCAAGCTGTRTAAAAAGTCAAAAGCACATAAAATGTTTCACAAAAATGCCACAACAATCTTTTGATTATATTAGGAAATCTAAGACAAAGAAATTCCTAGAGATCATAAGAAATTCCTGGAGAATGCTTTCTAGGAAAAGCACAGAATGGTGGGAAAGTAGTGTGCTGAGTGAGGTGCTGCAGCTCTCTCTGTCTTTGCTCTCTAACTACTGGCTTCACTGTAACCCTCAACACAGTGTAAACCTCTATGGGCCTTAGTTTTCTCTCTGCAAAAGGAAGGAAGCTGATTTACTAAACTCTATGAAGTCTTCCAAAACCATGTCTCTAGATTCCAAAACTATTACTATGTGAGAAATGATGTTGCAGACTCTTCATTCACCAATTCCTCCTTCAGCTCCTTTCATTTTAAAATGTTAACTGAATATATTCTTTATCAAATATCAACAGTTCTACCCAGTTTTCAATATCCTCCATAATTCTGCATAACTTTTCCAATCAATCTCTAAAAAACTGGAGGGGGGCTGGGGATGTGGCTCAAGCGGTAGCGCACTCGCCTGGCATGTGTGCGGCCCGGGTTCGATCCTCAGCACCACATACAAAACAAAGATGTTGTGCCCGCCGAAAACTAAAAAATTAAATAAAATTCTCTCTCTCTCTCTCTCTCTCTCTCTCTCTCTCTCTCCCCCTCTCCTCTCTCTTTAAAAAAAAAAAAAAAAACTGGAGGGGTTAGTCAGAAGAGAGAACTGAKACTCAGAAAACAACTTACTTAAAGTCACACAACTAGTGAGGGCAGAGGTAGGATTTGTACCCAAGTCTCCAAAGTCATTTTATTATCACTTTTTTTCCCCCTGCTACACTGGTGATTGAACCTAGTGGTGCTCTACTACTAAGCTACAGCCCCAGATCTTTTTTTATCTTTCATTTTGAGATATAGCCTCACTAATTTGCTCAGGATGGCCTCAGTTGTGATCTTTCTACCTCATCCTCCCAAACTGCTAGGATTATAGAAGTGTGCCACCACACATGGCTTATCATCACATTGTTGTAAAATATATGATAGATCAAGGACCCTAAAAATGTGTTAGGATTTGGGAACCATGGGTATAGGGACACACACCTGTAATTCCAGTGACTCAGGAGGATGAGGCAGGAAGATTAAATTTCAAAGTCAGCCTCAGCAATTTAGCAAGGCCCTAAGCAACCATGTCTGAAAATAAAAATTAAAAAGGCTGGGGATAAGGCCCAGTGGTAGAGCATCCCTGAATTAAATCCCCAGTACCAAAAGGAAAAAAAAAAAAGGGTTTTAGGAACTTTAAATTATTATAGTGTTAATGAAATTTAACTCTTCCAAAGGTCAAAGGTATATAATAAAATAATAGAAGGTRCAATTTTGTGCCTTTGTTTTTGATTAGTTAATCTTCACATCTACATTCGGACTTCATTTTTCAAGAAAGGAAAAGGGAACAATACACACAACCAAAAAATGGTCCTGGAATGTATTAAAAAGCCCCATAAAGCTTATTCAATAAAGCCCATAAATACCTGTTTTGGAGGAAGTGCATCCTGAGAAACAGGATCAAGAGTCATAAATTTTTTATCTTTAACAATACTGAGAACATCATACAGAACACACATCTCTGTAAGGGCACTTCTCAAATTGTTCCTCACTGAATCCCAAGGCCAAAGGGAAGGCTGAAATTTTACCAACCCTAGAAAATGGGAGAAAAAGAAATACAGAAGTGTTACATTGGATAGAAGATAGAAAACTCATTTAGAGTTTTAGAGTACTAATAGAAAAAATAAAATTGAAATAAAAAATATATTTTATTTCAAATTACTTTTCCCAGCCTGCCCATTTCCTACATACTTTCTTGAATCTTTATTAACATTTAAATTAGCAATCCTACTATGGCAAAACAAATATGATATTTAATTTCCACAGGTTGTATCTATCATTATAACATTATAGATTTTTAAAATTATTCAAGCCCGCCCCCCACCCCACCCTTTTTGGTACTAGGGATTGAATCTAGGGGTGCTTTACCACTGAGCTACATCCCCAGTCCTTTTTAGTTTTCATTGTGAGACAGGGTCTTCTTGCAAAGTTGTGAGGCTGGCCTCAAACTTGAGTTCCTTTTGCTTCATCCTCACCAGCTACTGGGATTACATGCCTGGTTCTTATGCAAGGTTTTCAATGATCCTTTCCCTTCAAGCTTTTAGTATTTGAATAAGTAATTTAGAGAATTTCCAAAATACTGAAAAGTATGAACTAAAAAATGGCCCATTGCAGGGCATGTTGGTGCTCGCTTGTAATCCCAGTGGCTCAGGGAGCTGAGATAGGAGGATGGCGAGTTCAAAGCCAGATCCAGCAAAAAGCAAGAGGCTAAGCAACTCCCTGAGACCCTATCTCTAAAATACAAACTAGGGCTGGGGATGTGGCTCAGTGGTCAAGTGTCCTTGAGTTCAATCTCCAGTACACACCGCTCCCCCAAATTGACCTATAATGCCAGAACCAATTTTAGCTACTATTAATACATGTTCCCTTTAATTACACGCACACACATACACATATATTTTATTAAATACATACTTGCTATACAGAATTCTGACAAAGAATGAGAGTAAAAAGTGAAAGTATGCCAGGCATGGTGGACTATTCCTGGAATCCCAGAGACTAAGGAAAGTTTGAAATCAGCCTCTGAAACTTAGGGGAGATCCTATACCAAAAGAAAAACAAAAATAAAAACCAAAAAAGATGAGGATAAAGCTCAGTTGTAAAGCCCTCCAAGGTTTAATTTCCAGTACTAAGGGGAGAAAAAATATTTTCCTAGTCATTCATATACCTATATAAAGTCTGAAATGACTATAATGTTTCTTATTATTATACTTAATCATTACAGCTGGTAAATATACATATTCCCATTTTTCTATTACATGCTCCCCTTTCCCCTTTAATATGTTCTAGAGATAACTTCCATGTCAACCCAGATAGAACCACTTCATTCTTTAACATCATGATATTTGGAACTTGAATGCATAATACATTTAACCATTCCTCTTTAACAGACTTGTAGATTACTTCCAACAATGCTAGCAGTTGTAAACATCTAGGACACATACTCATGAACATACAACWTTTTTGTAGGGTTAAATATTTAGGCATGGTATTGGTGGATCAAAATAATGCACATTTAAAATTTTGCACATATTAAAATCCCAAAGTGTCTTTATTAATTCACATTTCCAACAATAGGTATTAATAATCTTTTAAAATTTCTGCCAATTTTATGCATCTTAACTATTTTCATTTCTCTCCACTAGTGAGACTGAGTTTACAATGTTTATTAGCATCTGAAGTCTCTCTTCTATGAGCTGACATTTTATATATCTTTGGCCTAGTTTTCCAGTCATCTTTTTCTTTTCAGTTTGAAGGACTCTTTGAATATCAGGGATTATCAACCAATTACGTAATATGTACTACAAATACTTTTCCCAGACTGCCACTTACATTTTGCTTTATGGCATCTTTTTTAATTTTAAGTTTTATATAGTTATATTTTCCTTTATAAGGTCTATGTTTCCTATCTTAAGTCTCATATTTCCTAAGTTATATGATTTTTTTGTTATTTCTTCCAATATTTTGTTTTACTTTCTTCATTTAGGAGAATCCAAAAACACACTGATGTTGCTTCTTTAATTCTCTCCTAAGTAGCCTCCTCCATTCCAGTTTAGTTTTCCCTATAATTCATTTATTACAAAGCATTCAGAGTAATCTTTAAGAACTCAATCTGTCTCCTCTTCAAAAACTTGCAATTGTCTTTTTTTTTTTTTGTGTGTGTGTGTGTGTGTGTGTGGTGTTGGGGATAGAACCCAGGGTCTTGTGCATGCAAGGTACTCTACCAACTGAGCTATATCCCCAGCCTGCAATTGTCTTTCTAACTCACTCTAAGACCACACAGCTAATAAGCCATAAGAGGTACTGAGCTCTTAACCACTAGTGTGACACATTATAGGCGTCTGTTTTTGTTTTTTTTTAAGTGATTATTGGAACACTTCACCAATGACATGGTCTCAACCACTCCCTCTCCGGGGGACCTGCACAAAGAGTGTCCTAAGAGTCCAGAAATGTCTGAGGTGTCCGGTTATGACAAAAGACGACGATGAGATTACTACTGAGTGAGAGTGACACTTTCAAAGTAGTCCCACGCAGGCAATCTCACCGAGCGCGGGAGAGAGAGGCAGAGTGACATCATGCCGGCGGGCACAGAGACCCCAGCCCTACCTTCCTCGTCGTCCTGGTCTGCACTGGACCCCGCGCCCGCCCAATCCTGCGCCTCGCCCTCGGCCCCCGCCGCCTCCTCCTCCTCGGAACCAGAACCCTGGCTGAAGTCGATCCTCTGGGCCAGACGCGCCAGATTTTGCGACATGGACAGCGGCTGCAAGTAAGTCTCAGTGCCATCCAGGCCCACCTCCTGGACCTGCTTCTCGCAGGCCGACTCGATGCTGATCCGCACAGCGCGCACCCCTGACATGCTGGCAGCTTCAGTGGGCTGGAAGCCGGCAAATCCGTAACCCTCCCGAAGACAAACAGAACCCCAAGAACTAAAACAGCTCCGGCACAGCGCCGTCCCCAGAATGCTTTGCGACGTTTCCGCCCCACAAGTCTCACGGAACGAAACCGGTGAGGCTCCGGAACTCCGGGAGCGTTTCCGGTTAAGGATCAGGTGTACGAGGCAGAGCTTCCGGGTGTGTAGGAGGCGGAGCTTCCGGGTGTGTAGGAGTGTGTCACTGCTGTGGGAAAGGCGGGTTTTGACTCCCAAAGGCGAAGAGGCTGGTCTTTGGTGCGGGTCTGCAGTTAAGAGTCCTGTGAAAGCGAAGGGTGAACAAAGCTGAGGAAGAACGAACTTTGGCAAGGAAAAGGAAAGGAATGATTCCCTGAATTTTGGTAATGAGAGTCCCSCTGAGAGTGCTGGGATTTGGGGGCTTAAACCTACACTAGAAAAAAAATCTCTGAACAGTTATAATTTAAGGGCAGTTTGAGGAAAACAGTTGTGTGTATCGCCAGTTTAAATTATCTGGTTTCCGTTGTTAAATATTCCGTGACAGCTAATATTTTCAGCAAACAAAACTGTCACTTAACATGTGCTTAATATTTCATGCCTGAGTGAAAATATTTCAGTATGAGTCCCCAATAAAGTGCTTCATTAGTGGAATAATTATTGCATAGGGAAAGATGGATTATTTTACGTTACAGAACTATAATTAGGGACTATGTATATCATTGATCGTGAATCTTTGCCAAATTTTGTTCTGACAGATATATCTAGATTTTTGAACTAGTTTCCTAAGATAGGAAAATAAGGTCACCGTGGTGCCATTCCATATTGACAAGAGTATGTGGGTGTGTTCAGAGGCGAGTGAATTTTCGAAAGAAAAGTCTGTTTGGGGTCAAACAAGTGAATCTGTTCACAATCTTGTTTGAGAAGCACTCTGTTTACTCTTCATTGCATACATTAAAATTTTTTTTTTAGTTATAGATGGACACAATATCTTTATTTTATTATTTTTTAATTAATTAGTTTATTTATTCATGTGGTGCTTAGGATCGAACCTAATGCCTCACGCTTGCTACACAAGTGCCCTACCACTGAGCCACAATCCCAGGCCCATTGCATACATTTTTAATTCCTAGTACTTTAGTTTTTATTGGAGGGGGATGATGAAGGGAGAAGGGATTGAACCCAGGAACACTTAACCACTGACCATGTCCCCAACCCTTTTTGAGGCAGGGTCTTGCTAAGTTACTGAGGCTGGCTTTGAACTCAGTCTTCCTCCCAAGTTGCTGGATTACAGGTGTGCCTCATCATGCTCTTGTGCCCTTACCTCTGATCTACATCCCCAGTCTAGTCTTTACCTTTAAAAAAAAATATATATATATATATGTATATATAAATATATATATATATATATATATTTATATATATATATATATTAGTTGTATATGGACACAGTACCTTTATTTATTTTGATGTGGTGCTGATATTGAACCCAGTGCCTCATACTTTCAAGGCAAGGGCTCTGCCACTGAGCCACAATCCCAGCCCAAATCTTTACCTTTTAAAGTACTCCTGTAGGGGGCTGGGGATGTGGCTCAAGCTGTAGTGCGCTCGCCTGGCATGCGTGCGGCCCGGGTTCGATCCTCAGCACCACATACAAACAAAGATGTTGTGTCCGCCGAGAATTAAAAAATAAATAAATATTAAAAATATTTAAAAAAAATAAATAAATAAAGTACTCCTGTATTTGGCTGGGCTCTCTGTTGGCTGGCACACATACCTACTTAGGTTAGGATCCACTTGTTGGTTCTCCTTCAAGTTATAGATCTACAGTCATTTTTATTTTTGCACCAGCTGGTTATTTAGAGTATGTTCTTGTGCTGATAGCAATGGTATAAAATAAAAGCCTTGATTGCATTAAGTCTGTACAATCCAAAAAATTGCATGGTCACACCCAAAAGTCAAAGGTGAGAGAGGGGATGCTTTCAACCTCTTTAGTCAAGGACTACTCACATGGCAAGAGGTGTGGATAAAAGGAGAAACAGGGCCAGTAAACTAGCACACTTGGAAAATAATTCAGTTATATTCCTACTGTAGAAAAAAGTTACAAATGGATTAAAGATCTAAGTATAAAAAAGTTTCTTTAGTTATAAACAAGATATTTTAAGAAAATATATAAAAAATTAAATACAAAAGAACATATGAAAAAGAATGTCTTTAGAACATATCATAAAAAGGTTGTCTTTATATGTAAGAGTTAAAAAGAAAGTAACAAACCTCTGTGTATTCACATCAACTTAAGAAATAAAAAATTACTGAAAAAAATTACTGGGCTATGGTTGTGGCTCAGTGGTAAGGCACTCACCTTGCATGCCTCAGTATTCAGCACCACATTTAAAAAAATAGATAAAATTAAAACATTGTGTTCATCTACAACTAAAAAAAATTWAAAAAAATACTGAGATAAAGTAGTTAAAGCTTCTGTCCTCATTGTAGTTCACATCTCCTTGCATTCTCCTACAGGTAGCTATGAATTATTATTTTATTTTTTAATTAAAAATTTTTATTTTGCAGTGCTAGAAATTGAATCCAGGACTTGGACACTCTAGGAAAGTGCTCTACCAGTGAGCTACATTCCCAGTCCTGGTGTATTTATTTGAAATCAGTCACCTATTGCTATATAACAAAACACCCCAAGGGGGGAAGGGAAGAGGGAATGGAAGGAGAAATACTGAGGAATGATATTGCCAAATTATATTGTTTATTGCATGCATTGTGTGAATGTAACAAAAAATCCATTATATACAACTATAATGCATCAATAAAAATATGGGAGAAGAAAACAAAGCATGTCAAAAATCACAGGCTTAAAACACAATCATGACAGGTGGCAGGAGAATTACAAGTTTGAGGCTAGCCTAGGCAACTAAGCAAGAGCCTGTCTGAAAACAAAATTTTTAGTCATATGCAGTGGTGCAGGCCTGCAATCCCAACCATTCAAGGAGAGTTCAAAGCCAGCTTCAGTAATTTAGTAAGGCTTCAAGCAACTTAGTGAGATCCTTTCTCAAAATAAAAAATAAAAAGGACTGGGGCKGGGGGGTTCTGGAGTTGTGACTCAGCAGTAGAGCACTTGCCTTGCTTGCACACTGTGGCACTGGGTTTGATCCTCAGCACCACATACAAATAAATAAACAAAAATAAAGGTATTGTGTCCATCTACAACTATATAAAATAAAAAAAAAATTTTGTAAAAGGACTGAGGATGTAGCTCAGTGGTTAAGTGCCTCTGGGTTCAATCCCTGGTGCCAATACATGAATAATTTAAAAAATAAAATTTTTATAGGGGTGTAGCTCTAGGCCAGAGCATTTTCCCTGGCATGTACGAGGCTAGTTACTGTAATAGTTCATACTCGCTGAAGCATCTGTAGATCCTGGCAATATAGGATAAGCTCTCATTCTCTCCCTGATGCTGGTCTAGCAGCCCTTAACTATCTAGTTTACTCTCAAGTATCTTCAAGAGAGTACATTTTGCATTTTTTCAGCTTCTAAAAGTATTTATCATGAGATTATTCATTAGAATGAACTAATTCACAATTTCTGGAAGTAAAAATTTTTAATATTGGCCATTGATGTTTCTTCATCTGCCAATTGCCAGTTCATACTTTTTGCTGGTTTTTCCGTGTCTTTCCTTATTGATTCAGATGTTCTTAATGCATTCTGAATACTAATTAAATTTTGGCACTTTTGAAAATATATTCTCTATGTTCTTTCTTTTTGAGCGAGTTTGACAACAAAAGTTTTACATTTTAATGCTGTCAGGTCAAATTTATCTTTTATAGTTTCATTGGGAAATACTTTCATATTCAATGTTGTATTAATATCCTGTGTTTTCTTTTAAATATTTTATTAAAAAGTGTTAGTATTCATATTTAATTTATCTGGTATTGGGTCCAAAMCAATTTTATTTTTCATATGACTGTGCCAGCACCCTTTAATGCATTTTTCTTTTCCTCCTCTCATTGATCTGAATTCAGGGTCACTTTTTTTTTTGGTACTGGGAATTGAATCCAGGGGYACTTAACCACCAAGACACATCCCCAGTCGTTTGTATTTTATCTTTTGAGACAGGGCCTCGCTAAGTTGTTTAGAGCGACACTAAGTTGCCAAGACTGACTTTGAACATGGGATCCTTCTGCCCTAGTTTCATGAGCCATTGGGATTACAGGCATACACCATCATGCCAGGCTTGAATTCAGTGTCATTTCTGTGAGACAAAAAAAAAAAAAAATTATGTCTCCATATGGAAAGATTTTTTTTTTTTTTTGGTTTGAGTGTCCATCACTATCAAAACCACACCTTACGAGTTTATAGTAAGTTTTGATGTTTTTATATTAAATCCTCCCTGATCTTGTCTTCAAAATTAGTTTTGCTTATCTTGACCCTTTGCTAGCTCATATATTTTAGAAYAACTGATGAGGTTCTATGGAAAACACTAGTGGGATTATACCAGCATTGAATTAAATTTATAGATTTAAGTATTGATACTTCTCTGAGACTGTTATCTTCCTAGATATGAATGTAACTATTTGAGTTTTCTGTAAATTTCCAGTAGCTTTATAATTTTCTTCATAAGAAGTTACCTAATACACAGCTTTTTTTTTTTTTTTTTTTTGCATGCAGTAGGATCTTAACTGCATACATTCAGGTGATCCTGTTTTGTTCACAATGCCTCCTTGCTGTTTCTTGAACATACCAACTCCTCTCTTGCCACTGGGCCTTTGAATCTGCCAGGAAGGATGCTTATCAAATAACTTCATAGATCATTCCAATTCTTTCAAGTTTTTGCTAAAATGTCTCTTGAGAGGTTTTTTTCCCCAGATCCTCCAATATAAAAACTTAATAAAGGGTTGGATTCCATTTTTGATATTTGACTGCTGACAGCTTTTACACCTTATTCCCTCCCCTCTTCCTCTCCTACCCACATTTTGGCAAGCTAAGATAGCCTGAATGTGCCCTTCTTTGACACCCCGTGGGAAATTCAAATGTCATGTAGGAACCATCACACTGGAATTACCCTCAGTCAGCAAAAACCCAAGCCAGTTTCTTTTCCCTTTGTGTCAGGTCAATTTTAGACCTTCTTAGAAGCGTCCCTGCTCTTTTTCTCTGAAAAACTTCATTTTGTGAGGAATAAACCCTTTCAACTTGACATCTAAAACAAATTAGGGTAGGGAGTCCATCCTGTTCAGAGGGCCACAAGTGTCTTCCTTTGTGGCACACACCTGTAATCCCAGCAGCTCCGGAGGCTGAAGTAGGAGGATCAACCTAATGAGATCCTGTCTTGAAATTAAAAAATAAGAAGAGGTGGGGATGTGACTTAGTGGTTAAGCGCCCTTGGGTTTAATCCCTGGTACAAAAAAAAAAAAAAAATCCTTCTTTACAATACACCCCATTTTAATTTTCTTTGTAGCACTTAATACTACCTGGCATACACTTGTCTGTCTTCCCAGACTARACAAATCCTCAATGTCTAGTGAAGTGTCTGGCATAATCATTCACTCACTCATTATTCAACAAATATTTATTGGCCAGTGTAATAGGTTTATGTCACTGTGATCAAAATATCCATCAAGAACAACCTAAGATGAAGGAAAGTTTATTTTGGCTCATAGTTAACAAAGGTTTAGTACATAGTCCCACTTCTCTGGACCCAAAGTAAGATAGGAAATCGTGGCCAAAGGGTGTGGTAGAGGAGCACTGTTCTGTTCAAGGAGACCAGGAATCAGGGAGAGGGAAAGACAAGGCCCCCAAAGAAAGAACCACCCTTGCAGGTCACACAGCCAATGACCCACCTCCTCCAGCCACGCGCCAGCTGACTACATTTACCACTCATTTAGTTCATTCAAACTAGGATGAACTGATTAGGTTATTGCTGTCACAATCCAATCATTTCACTTTCAAACATTCCTGCATTAATACAGGAGCTTTTGGAGGACATCTCACAACCAAACCATAACAACCAGGCAGTATTAAGGGCACTAGTGCTATAGTAGTAAACAAACATCTTAGGATCATGTAGTTTACATTCCAGAGTACAGAGTAAGTGTTCAATACAAATTTATTAAAAAATACTAATCAAAAGTACAAATAAATGCTGCCAAGGATATGGGGAAAATGGAATCCTATGTATCATGGTCCATGGTGGTCAGGTGGGTTTTTTGTCTCATGAATTTGAAGAATGAAACCCAAAGACACAGGGTGAGAGTAAAGTAATAAGATTTATTRGAGTGATAGAAAGCAGAGCTTCTGAAGAGGGTGGGGTCCCAAGAGAGGGTTGCCAACAGGTGTCTGTTGTCTAGGGGTTTTTAATAGGCTTGATCTATACCTAGAGGCGACTGGTGGGGTGACAGAAAGAGGCCAATCAGCTCTAATTGTCCTCTTCAGCAAATCTGGAGAAAAGTGATTTCTGAGTCTTTATTAGCAAAAGGATGGTGGTGAGAATTTGTTGGTTCAAGAGGAAGTGCTTTAGAGAACATTTTGCAGTTGATCATTGCTAGGGGCTGTTAAGGAACTGTGCTTGTGGTTAGGACCAGCTGGGGTAGCAATCTTCACAGTCTTTTCTTCCTCCTTTTCTTCTCTTATACACTTTCCCACCTATCTGTGGTGTGGAGGAAAGCTATCTTCCTGTCTCACTTATACTGTTGGTGGGAATATAATTACTACAGCCACTATGGAAATCAGTTTGGAGTTTTCTCAAAAAAACTAAATATGGAACTATTATATGATTCAGCTATAACCACTCCTTCATATTTATCCAAAAGGATTGAGGATAGCACACTTTAGACATACATGCATTCCCATGTTTAGAGCAGCACAGTTCATAATAGTTAAGTAATGGAGTCAGCCTAGGAATCTGTCACCAGAAAAACGGTAAGAAAATATGATATTTATACATAATGGAGTTTTATTTATTTAGCCATAAAAACAGATAAAATTGTGTCATTTGCTAGAAAATGGATGAACCTAGACACCATCATGTTAAATGAAAGACAGATTTCATACCAGTGTCATATGTCATGTTTCTCTCATATGTGGAAGCTAATAAAGGAGGAGAAAAGGGGATCTTGTAAAAATAGAAGGGAGGCCATTAGATCCATTAGGATAAGGGAACCAGAGAGAAAGAGGGGAGAGGAAAGTGTAGATACTGGAAAATTAAATTGATCAAATTATGGTTATATGCATGTAAAAATATACCACAATACATACAACCCACTATTCTGTATAATTAATATGCAACAGTAAAAAAAAAAAAAAAAAAAGAGTTCATTGGTTTGATTGGGAATGCAAAAGCATGCAAAGAATTACAGGTTGAAAACTAAAAAAATAGTATTTTTCAATGGAGGAAAGATTAAAAGGACATACAATACAAAATTTTTATTAATTTCTTTTTATTTCTTTATTAATTTCATTGCTTCAAAATAGTGCTTATTTAAAAATAGCACAAATTTATACTCACATGTTACAGCTAAAACTGAAAATAAACAGTCCAAAATATTATTTGAAGTATGCTTAGTACTAAATTAAAGCACCTAAATTTGCACATTATTGGCATTAGCAAGAATGGAGAKTTGATTTTCTAGGTAATGATTATTATAGAAGAATATCAAAGGCAACCATATAATCAGTAATTGAATATAATTTTATATTTCATGAAGGACATTAGTCACTTTCAGCAGTAGCCTTATTGAAAATTAAAGTATGCTCACATAAATGTTGTATTTTGATGCTGTTTCTTTCTTTACCTTTCTCTTACTGCAAATAACCAACAAACTGCTTCCATATGGCAATCAGAACAAGGGAAGAATCATGGCTAACCATTTTGTTGCTAACTAATGTTTGTGAAAGGCAAATTGCAAACTTCTGAGTATGGTTTAACTTCATGAAAAAGATGAAGGGCTTACTTTGTTTACCTTGTTCCATGAAAAAAAAAATTATATTCTGATTTCTGGAATGGATTTTTAAAATTCAATACAAAGATTCAACCATAAGCATTTCTTTCTTTCTTTTTTGGTACCAGGGTTAAACCYAGGAGTGCTTAACCACTGAGCCACATCCCCAGCCCTTTGTATTTTTTATTTTGAGACAGGGTTTTGTTAAGTTGCTCAAAGGCCTCTGTAAATTGCTGAGGCTGGCTTTGAACTTGCAATCCTCCTACCTCAGCTTCCCAAGTCATTGGGATTACAGACATGTGCTAMCATGCCTGGCTTTAACCATCAACATTTCTAAACTGATTTTGCTAATGCCTAGAAATAATCTATTTAGCAGTCTTAAGACTTAATTTGAAAAAATGAACATTATACAAATATAAGTTAATGTTATTAGTAGGAATAATCATGATTCCTAATCATATTTATATTTGAGATATAAACATATGATAGACTTTGCTTGATATTATAGAATTTTAAAAAAATGCGGTTGGCTCAATAAATTTATGTGAGCATTAAAAAAAAAAGACCATCTCAAATGTATCTCTGTTCCCAATAATCTCTCTCAGATATATACCTGTGAAATAATAGAGAATACAGTGTCATTTAAAAGACAAAAAAAGGGTTTTAAGTGATGAGATAATTTCTATTGGATTTTATATTAGTAATGAGTTAATTAATTAACTTATTTATTTTTGTTAAGCATAAGATGATTTAATCTCGTCCAACTGAATGGGTCTCTCTTGGTTGATCAATGCGATAAAGAAACTCTGCAGGTAAGAAGTATCCAAGATATTCCACTATATCTGGAGTCGTGTCATAATGATAGTGTCCACCTTCTCCATGATGACTAAAAAAATGAGTGTGTTCCAGTCGCAAATCAAATCCCTAGGGCAACAGAAAAGTTAGTATATACTCAAATTATTTTGATGAGAATTTGTTTAATGAGTGAGGATAAATTTTTTAATTTATATTACAAAGTTTTTATTTACTTATTTATGTATTTTTTTTTTGTAGTGCCAAGGAAACCCAGGACCTCCTGCATGCTGGGCAAGTGCTCTATCACCAAGCTATATACCTAGCTCATGTTTTTTTGTTGTTTTGTTTTTTCTTTCTAATTTTGTGGTAGTGACACTCTACCACTCAGCTACACCCCCAGCCCTTTTTATTTTTTTATTTTGAGACAAGGTCTCATTAAATTGTTGAGTCTCATCTTGAATTTGTGTTCCTCCTCCCTTTGTCTCTCAAGGTGCTTGGACTGTAGTTTTTTCTGGTTTTGAGATGGGGTCTTGCTGTGTTGCTCAGACTGACCTTAAACTCATGATCCCCCACCTTAGCCTCCTGAGTTGCTGGAATTATAGCCATGTGCCACAATACCCAGACCTGTTTTTATATTTTAGATAGGMATTACATTCACATGATTTCAAATCAAAGCATGCAAAAGGATATATTCAATTAAATGTGTCTTCTTCTCTCTTATCCTCACTGGTTATTTCCTTTCCTTACAGGCAAAAAAATGGAAACAGATCCATGTGTATCCTTCCAGAAATATTTACTTTTACTTTTTTCACTCAAATTGTAGCTCTCTGTGCACCTTTCTGCTATTGCTTTTTTCACTTAACAATATAGCTTTGACATAATGTCTATCAGACCATAAGAGCTTCCTTATTCTTTTGTTACTTTTCAACTGTCATTTACATTATTTCCAAATCTTGTGCTATTATAACAATGTTGTTATTAATAACCTTTTAATTAACCATTTTACACAGCATATATTTAAAGATTAAATCCTAGACATGTAATCATATTGGATCAAAATATATGACCAATCAGTATTTTTATAGATACTTGGCTTTGAATCAGTCTATATTAATTTTTTTCCAGTGTGTAGTATTAGAACACCAAAGAACATGATAGGAGACCTGAATCTTAGTTGTGATTCTTGCTATTCTATTTAATAGCAAGACTTTAGGTGCTATTAAAACAGCTTTGTGAGGCATGGTGGCGTACACCTACAATATCAGTGACTTGGGAGGCTGAGACAGGAGGATTGCAAGTTGGAGGCCAGCCTCAATAACTTAGTGATGCCCTAGGCAACTTTGTGAGACCCTGCCTCAAAATAAAAAGGGCTGGGATGTGGCTCAGTGTTTAAGTGCCCCTGGGTTCCATCCCTGGTAAAATCCTGCTCTGGCTAACATAGGGTGGTAAGTCACCTTCGCTCTTAATTTTCAAGATAATTTTATAGACAACCTGGTTCTTAGATAACAAGAACCCAAAAATCTAAAGGAATATTCTAAAATTCAAGCATTATAATTGTAATGTTAAAGATAGACAAGGACTTACTGGGTCTCTGGAAACAAAAACTGGTAGACAAACCAAAGGAGCATTCATCKCATAAAAATGCAACCATTTATTCACTTCTTCATCAGAGTTCAATGGGCAGGAAGAAAATTCTGCAGGCTACAATAAAAGACCATTAAACAGGTAAACATATTGAATATTATTTAGAATTTAAAAATTTAAAAACATGATTTCATTAAGTTAAAATTTTTAAGCCTTCTTATAATTCCATTGCTTTTGGTATCAGTTAAATAAAATACTCTAGTTTTCCAAAGGGTAACCAGTTGTACAAACTAAAATTTAGGAATGAATAAAGGTAAAAAAAGGATGAGAGTTGACCATTGACTATTTTTTTATTATTTATTCTTTTTAGGTATACATGATAATAGAGTGTATTTTGACACAGTATACATAGAGTATAACTTATCCTAATTAAGATCCTGTTCTCATGGTTGAACGTGATATGGAATTTCACTGGTCATGTATTCATATATGAACATAGGAAAATTATGTCTGATTTATTCTACTGTCTTTTCTAATCCCATGCCCCCTCCTTTCTCTTCATTCCTCATTGTTTAATCCAATGGACTTTTATCCCCCCACCCTCATTGTGTGTTAGGATTCATATGTCAGAGAGAACATCTGGCCTTTGGTATTTGAGGACTGGCTTATTTCACTTAGCATTTAGTATCTTTTTTTTGTTGTTGATAAAATCAGGCATCAAACCCATAGACTTGCACATTCTAGAGAAGTTAGGTAAGTGCTCTATCTATCACTGAGCCATACCTTCAACCTCCTAGTTTTATTTTTCAGTTTTCCTGAGTATATATTTCCTTTCTTTCTTTTTTTTTTTTTTTTTGTGTGTGTGTGTGGTGCTGGGTGAGTATTGATATTGATCCCAACAAGTACTCTATCACTGAGCTATAACCCCAGCCCCACCATCCTAATCTTAAATGCCATGATTATTAAGTAACAAGGGGTGAGGAAAGCAAGACACTAAAATTGGGTAGTAGCATCAAAAAAGAATAAAATACTTTGAAATAAACTTAACCAAGAAGGTAAAAGACTTKTATACTGAAAACTACAAATTTTTGCTGAATTAAAGAAGATTCCAATTAATAGAAAGGCATCCTGTGTTTAGGAATTGGATACTTRGAAGAAATCAATACTAGCCTGGTTCAGTGATACACGTGCATGCCTGTAATATTGCACCTACTTTGGAGCCAGAGGCAGGAATATGGCAAATTCAAGGCCACCCTACACAACATAAGCAAGACTGTTTCCAAAAAAAAAAAAAAACCCATTTTTTAAAAACAATCTTGAAAAAAAATTAGAGATCTCACATTCTTGGTTTCAAAAGTTACTCCAAGTTGCATATGGTGGCACCCACCTGTAGTCCCAGCAACTCTGGAGGCTGGGGCAGGAAGATTGAAAGTTTAAGACCAGCCCCTGCTTTTTAGCAAGACTGTCTCAAAATAAAGAAGGGTTGGAAGCATGGCTCAGCGACAGAGGGACTTTAGGTTCAATTTCCAGTACTACAAACAAGCAAACTAAAAATTCTCAGTAATCAAAACTGCATTACTGCATAAAGACAGACAGCCAGATCAACRGACTAGAGAGGCCAGAAATAAATCCTTGAATATAGGGTCAAATGATTTAACAAGGATGCCAATAATATTCAATGAGAAAACAACAGTCTTTTCAACAAATGTTGCTGGAAAAACTACATATCCTCATGTAAAAGAATGAAGTTGGTGGCGCATGCCTATAATCCCAGTGGCTTGGGAGGCTGAGACAGCAGGATTGTGAGTTCAAAGCCAGCCTTAGGAACCTAGCAAAGCCCGAAGCAACTCAGTGAGACCTGTTTCTAAATAAAATAAATGTTTTTTTAAAAAAAAATTGTGGGGAAATGGCTCAGTGGAAAAGTACCCCTGGGTTCAATCCCTGGTGCAAAAAAAAGAATGAAGTTTGACACTTACCTTATACCAGATATAAAAATTAATTCAAATGGATCAAAGATCTGAATGTAAGAGCTAAAACTTTTAGGAGAAAACAGTGGAAAATTTCATGACATTGGGTTTTGTCATGATTTCTTAGCTATGACAACAAAAGTATAGTCAACAACAGCAAAATAAATAGCTAAGTGTAGTTGTGTGTGCCTGTAATTCCAGCGACGAAGGAGGTTGAAATAGCAGTATTCCCAAGTTTAAGACCAGCCTAGGCAATTTTGCAAGACTCTGTTTCAAAAAAAAAAAWTTTTTTTTTTTAAAGATCTGGGATGTCACTCAGTGGTAGAGCATCCCTGAGTTTAAATCCCCAGTACCTCAAAAAGAAGAAAAAAAAAACCCTCGATCTTACAAACAAGCACATTGAAAAAAAAGTTCCAATACAGTAATGTGAAAAAGAACTCTACCTCATCATTATTTAGTATTATGACTTACAGTATTGTCATTTAAACTTTTAAGTAATGTAATATACTCACAACAAAAGGATTTGTTTAGGGTGTATTTAAAGGTAGAATTCCCAATGTATTTAAAAATTCTGAGATATTAATTTAAGCATGTGCACATATATATATCCATACATATGAGTATACATACATAGGCCCTTACCATAATGTGAGCCTTTACTTTTCCCTTCTGAACTATAAAAGTACCTCCCATCCCTACAGGCTTGTCTCCATATTGTTTTTCCAGAGTTTGTCTCATACAAGTCACAAAGTTAAGTTGTCCAGTTCTTCGTTTGGCTTTTACCTCAATGACCTATAGAAGATATAAATATACATTATATTGGATAAGCTGTAAAATTTTATTTAATTACTAAATATAACATGGTATAACTTAATACCATCAAGCAATATTCTGTTTGCTTAGTATATCCAAATGTAAGCTGAGGTGTCTCAATCCCCTGAGTCTTCATCAACCATATGTATATTATACACACACACACACACACACACACACACACACACACACACACACATATATATATAGTCCTGTATATACACACATACATTATTATATATAACTTTAATAAATAAGTTAATAATAATAATATAAATAAATTCATATTTTCTTGAATTAAGTGCTACACTGAACTGTAGAGACTCTTAACATATATGTCAAGGGGATAAAAGGCTGAGAATTCCCTAGCTTAAGGGTTTAACTTCTGGTAAATGGGGTAAAGGAAAAATGATTAAATTTTCTCACTTCCTGTAAAATACTGGACTTTGTTTTCTCTATGTTATTAGGTATTTTTACTTCACTACCTCATTTCTCAAAGTAATTGGGGTGGCTATATCTTACAAAATCTGAGAGTCCTCACAAATACCAACACTGAAATCATTTTTTTTGTGCACTAATCAAAAGAAAATATGAAGTGAGGGGCTGGGATTGTGGCTCAGTGGTAGAACGCTTGTCTAGCATGTGTGAGGCACTGGGTTAGATTCTCAGCACCACATATAAATAAAGTAATAAATAAAATAAAGGRCCATCGACAATTTAAAAAATATTAGAAAAGAAAATATGAAGTGAGACATTAATTATCCTTATCCTTCTTTCRCTCTAATGTTTTGCTACCCCCATTTCTATCTAACACAACATGTTACCAGTCAGGAATAAGTGAATTTCCTATTTAATACCTGTAAGTAGATATTATTTATTTAGCCACAAAGTTCATATAAATGACTCACTTCCCAAATTAGTTAGAAAA